TACGGACGTCTGGAGCGCGGCTCCACTCGTTTACCTTTCGCAGTTCGGTCCGGCGTAGCCGGGCATACAGCGACACTGCATGCTGTCACCTCTCTGCACGCAGCCCTCCGCAAAACTACAGACAGACAGGAAGAAGAGTGAAAAACTACAAATCAGGACAGCATCAAAGCACGTGGGAGACGCTTAGTTTGAAAAACAGGAAATGTTACTTGTGGCGTTCCTCAGGGCAGCGATGTGGGGCCTTTAACATTTTCAGCTTCCATATTTACTGATGACTAAACACTAAATGTGGCTGAATCATTGACCCTTAAATTCATGCTATATTCCCAGTATTCCCAACAAACATGCAGGAATCGGCTGAGGCGTAGGGAGTGGAGGTACTGACTTGTTGGATGGAGCTCTCAGCGGGCAGGGGCAGCTGGAGCACGTCACGGCCTGACCATCCACGCTGTTGTTACCTAGGAACCCCCCCTGGCACGTCTCACAGTGGTCGCCGGCCGTGTTGTGCCGGCAGTTCTGACGGACAGACAGAGACGAGAATGGTTAGAGATCCGTGACATCAGAGCGAGAGGACGTCAGGAGGCAGCGTGCAGTCCGAGCTCCTCACCACACAGATCCCAGATCCGTCCAAACACTGGTCCGAGTGTCCGTTACAGCTACAGGGAACGCACTTCCCCAGGAACAGGCCGATGGTGTCTCGGTAGTACCCCGGAGCACATTTCTGCACACACACACACATCACGACCTTTAACCTTTATCCACCATCACCGCCTCCTGTCTGCGAGTCACCAAACACCCCAACAAACCCAGATCCAAACCCGTCCCTCACCTGGCACGAGTCTCCCAGGTAGTTGGCGGGACACAAGCAGATTTCCACATTGTTGGCGTGGCGTCCAACAGGCAGGCTCTCGGCACCCTCTAGCACGGCGCCACGCAGCGACACGGACTGGGCTGACTGGGAGTGCAGGGCTCGGATCTGCAGAGACTCCAGCCCGACCAGAACCATCATCAGCTCCTCTCGGGACACCGGGTTACCGGTCCGAAAGTGACGGAAACTTCCCTGTAAGCACAGGAAGGACACGAAGAAAACATCGTCATCGGCTCCGCTGTGAGGTCACGTTCTGACATCAGCTGAGTGACAGGTACAGGTGGACCACCTGACCAGAGCTTACGCTGCACACGTGTTTACAGGGAATCTGTAAAACGCTTTCTGAGGCCTCTCATGGGGTCAGGAGTCAACTTTCTAATATTACAGGTGACGTTACCTCAACGATGTGGACGATGCCCAGGTGAGGCTCCTCAGGGGACGAGTACTCTCTCTCCATGAACACCAGGGTCATCTGGTTACCCTGGACGACAGAAACAGGAAGTAAAGCTGTCAGCATGCTAACACACAGCTAACGCTACATATGAGAGGGCACAGGTGTGTGTGCACGTGTGTGCACGTGTGTGTGCACGTGTGTGTGCGCTTTGCACCTTGAGGATGATGTCGGGTTTCGGGGCCTCAGCGGGCAGAGGCAGCACGTCTCCTCTCATGGTCTGGGTGTGCAGACGGTACCTGAGATAGCCTCCGTAGGAGGAGACCTGTGCAGACAGGAGCAGATCAAAGCTCAGACACAAACAGCACCACGCGGCTTACAGGCTGATAAACACAAAGCCTGCAGTTTATCTGCGACAGATAAAACCTGCAGTCTGCTGCACGCATGCAGGTTGCAGCAGGCTGCCATCTGAAGCCGGTCGTTGGAGCGTAACAGCGGGGGATTTAACCGTCAGAACAAAGGGTGACGCTGGCTGAGTCACACATGGAAGCTGCTGATCTCCGTCTGAGCCTCGGCTGTGTGGGGCGTGTCTGTAACAGAGCGAGGGATTCTGGGATTCTGTGAGGCCGTAAGCTTTACAAACAGATCTGCACCTGGAGACGGCTCAGACGCACTGCTGGCTCACCCTCATCCTCTCTGAGCGCACACAGATCCATCAGATAAAGGCGTGTTCAGACTCCGCCCGGTTCTTACAGCACCTGACTGATCTTTAACTGGAGTAACTCACCTTGTCTCCCAGGTAAGTGTTCGGAGCGTGCCAGTACAGCTCCTGATAAACATCGGGCACGTCGGTGATGTCGGCCTC